TCAATCCCCATCTTTTCCAGATTAACCAATAATTCCTCATGCAGTACCGTATCAAACGCTTTACTGAAATCGAGGTATATTAGATCCACCACATTTCCTTTATCTAAAAAATCTGTTACTTTCTCAAAGAAGGAGATCAGGTTGGTTTGGCATGATCTATATTTCGTAAAACCATGTTGTAATTTGTCCCAGTTGCCATTGACCTCAACGTCCTTAACTACTTTCTCCTTCAAATTTTTTTCCAAGACCTTGCATATTACAGATGTTAAACTAACAGGCCTGTAGTTACCCGGGTCACTTTTTTCCCCCTTCTTGAAAATAGGAACCACATTAGCTATTCTCCAGTCAAACGGTACCACCCCCGAGTTTACAGATTCATTAAAAATTATCGCTAATGGGCTTGCAATTTCTCGCGCCAGTTCCTTAAATATTCTCGGATGAAGATCATCCGGTCCGCCCAATTTACTCCCCTTAAGCTATTCGAGTTTGGCTTCTACCTCGGTTATGGTAATGTCAACCCCCCCTCCTTTATTCCCATCTGTCACGCTGCCACTATTCCTAAGCCCTTGATTAGCCTCATTAAAGACCGATGCAAAATATTCATTTAGATATTGTGCCATGCCTAGATTATCCTTAATCTCCACTCCATCTACAGTCTTAAGCGGTCCCACTTCTTCTTTCTTTGTTTTCTTCCTGTTTATATGGCTATAAAACCTCTTACTATTGGTTTTAATTCTCCTCGCAAAGTCCAACTCTACACGGCTTTTGGCCTTTCTCACTCCATCTCTACATGCTCTGACCTCAATAAGGTAGGTTTCTTTGCTGATCCCTCCCATCTTCCACTCCTTGTACACTTTCTGTTTTTTCTTAATCACCCCTCTGAGAAGCTCGCTCATCCAGCTCAGTCTAAATCTCCTGCCCACGAACCGTTTTCCCTTTCTCAGGATACAGACCTCCGACAGCTCCTGCAACTTCAACTTGAAATAATCCCAGGCACCTTCCGCCTTTAGATCCATAAATATGTTAGTCCAATCCACTTCCCTAACTAGTCACCTTAATTTATTAAAGTTAGCCCTTTTGAAATCGTAAACCTTAGTCTCCGAGTTAATTCTGTTAATCCTTCCATTTAGTTTAAACCGAATTAGCTCATGATCACTCGAGCCAAGGTTGTCCCTTACAACCATTTCCTCAATGAGGTCCTCACTACTCACCAAAACCAAATCTAAAATGGCATCCCCCCTCGTCGGTTCAGCAACTACTTGATGAAGGAATTCATCAGCTATCACGTCTAGGAAAATCTGAGCCCTATTACTATTGTTACTAGCATTTGTTCCCCAATCTATATCCGGGAAGTTAAAGTCTCCCATGATTACACAGTTCCTATTAGTATTTACCTCCCTAAAAACATTAAAGAGTTCTCTGTCTAGATCCTGGCGGTCTATAGCACACCCCAAGCACTATCTCAGGGGAGACTGTAGTAGTTCTTTTACCCAATGTGAGTAATGCCCAGACTCCGTCTTATCCATTCCATCGCTTATTATTTCTTTATAGTTTACCTCATTATTGACATACAATGCTACTCCCCCACCTTTGCCTTTGTTCCGGTCTTTCCTAAACAGCACATACCCTTCCATACCTGTACTCCAGTCATGACTACCGTTCCACCACGTTTCGGTTATGCCTACGATATCCGGTTTCATTTCTCGGATCAGGAGCTCCAATTCCTCCATTTTGTTACCTAGGCTTCTCGCATTGGTGTATAAACATCTTAATTTATGCCGTTTGGCCTCTGTCACATTTGTTATCCAATTTGGTACGGACACCGTACCGCCAGTATGACCTATTAGTCTAGTATCCATCCTCCCTCTCCTCCTTATGTCCAATCTCTTCCCCCCGGCTATATCCGTTCTTATCTCATTGTCCTCCCTCTCAATGTTATAATCTGGTGTGGAAATTAACTGGACATCTCCCAACCGTCTCCCTCAAATTCCTAGTTTAAAGCTCTTTTGATGAGATGAGATGAGCCAGCCTCCCTCCCAGAAGTCTATTTCCTTCCCTACTTAGGTGAAGTCCGTCCCGTGAGAACAGTTTTCTGTCCCCCGAAAGCCTCCCAGTGGCCATACATCCCAAAGCCCTCTTTATAGCACCACTTCCTTACCCAACTATTTATCATCACAATCCTATCACCCCTTTGCTGCCCTTCTCTAGGAACAGGCAGAATCCCACTGAAGATGATCTGAGCCTCGATTTCCTTAAGCGTCTTCCCCAGCCTGGCATAATCTCCCTTGATTCTCTCCAGCGAGAACCTAGCCATGTCATTCATTCCTACATGAAGGATGATCAAGGGGTTCTTACCTGCTCCTTTTAGGATCCTTTTCAACCACCGGTCCACATCCAGTATCTTAGCGCCTGGTAGACAGCAAACCGTTCTGTTCTCTGGGTCCGCCCTGGTCACAGACCTGTCTAACCTCCTCAGTAAGGAGTCCCCAATCACGTAAATCTGTCTCTGCCTGGTGACAGTGCAATCTACTAATCTATCCCCTGTTCCCTCTAGTTGCAACCCCTGTCCCTTCCTATTTTCCCTTCTAATCCCCCTTATGCCAACCTGTATCCTCCCGGGGCCCAGATTTGGTGCTGTCTCCATCAACTCCTCCCCTCTTTCTATGGGACTAGCTGCTCTTCTCTTCTTCCTCACCTTCCCACCTTCAGTTACCACCTGCTGCACCCCTTCCTCGTTTTCCAAACACCTAAACCTCTTCCTGAGCTCTATTTCTCCTTCACTGGCCCTCCTTTTCCTTGGCCTGCTTCTCATGGTCACATGCTTCCACTGCCCTTGTTCTCCCCCTGGCATTCCCTCCTCACAGGCCTTTGCCCCTGCTTCCACCTGTACCCCTGAGCATTCCCCTTCAGCCACTCCTTGTCTTTGCTCCATCAGCTGCATGAACCCCCTTCTAAACTCTGCCAGGGTATCCACCTGCATCTCCAAACCTCGGATCTTTTCTTCCAGCAGCTCTATTAGGCGGCACTTCATGCAGACATACCTCTGTTCAGGCATCCCCGCTAAGACCATGTACATACCGCAGCAGCCACATGCAATCATCTGCATTGTGTCCCCTGCTGCTTGGCTCATGGCTGCTGTTGTCTGTGCCCGCCTGCTCACCTGTGCCCTCTGCACCTGGGGTAACACAGCACACGGGGCACCGCGCCCTCCTGCCTCCCCTTCCACCTCCCCCTGTAAATTCCCACTCAAACTGCCCTGTTAGCAGCCCTGTTCGCCGGCTGCTGTGCCGCTGCCTGGCTGGGTGGCCGCTTTTATAGGCCCTCTCCTCCGCCCTCTAATCAGGGCTCAGCTGCCCTCCCAGCACGCTGCCCCTACAGGCGTCTACACATACAAGCACTACAAAGACAGATGCAAATACAGATACCTTCTCCTCCAATGGAACTCCCACTCAAACTCCCGTTAGCAGCCCTGTTCGCCGGCTCCTGTGCCGCTGCACGCAGATGTTCCGCTGTCTGGCTGGGTGGCCGCTTTTATAGGCCCTCTCCTCAGCCAAGCTCCGCCCCCTAATCAGAGTTTATCAACTCTGCATGCTTAGGAATCAGCTAAACTGCTGGGCCCCCCTTCTCACCGGCTGCCTTGCTTCCTCTCCTTGTCCTCCTAAGCAATCCCAGGTCCTTTCCCAAAAAAGCTTTTGTCAGAAGCCGGACCGGAGTGTCCTAAGTACCTTCAGGTTTCCCCCCAACATTTCCTAAGGCAAACAGTCATTCCCTTCTCTGACATGCATGCAGTCATTTCATAGGGCAGAGTGTTAAGGTATTAAGATTTGGGGAACTATTCTTAGCAACTTCTCTGTGTAGATTTCAGAGGTGTTCACACACTCACCTCCACTGAGCCTCACTGTTACACCCCAATCGAATAGAAAGGCTGTGACGGCTCCACATCCATAAAAAAACAATAGACAAAAATTGAAAAAGGGAAATACATTTCAAAGATTACAAAGGGTTGGATCTCTGCAGCTCTTCATCTTTGGATTCACATGGAGTAGGAACTGCAGATGCAATTGAGGAACCAGGTAATGGCATATATGGTCCAGCACTTTGGGGTAGTAGGCTTTTCAGGTACAAGACTAGTGAAGGCTGCATAACCAGTTGACGTTGTGCTTCATTCCCCAGAGGGATCAGTCCTGGGTTCCTGGCAGTAAGCCTCTCTTAGATGACTTAATTAACATAGAATGCAAGACTGGTCATACTGGGTCAGATCAATGGTCCATCTAGCCCAGTATGCTGCTTGAGAGTGACCAGCGCCAGATGCTTCAGAGGGAATGAACAGAACAGGTTTCTTGATCTGAAAGCTGAAGGACCTCCACCCTTACCTTTAACTTTATTGTTGTAGATTCCAGCTTACCCCACTTCCCCCAAGGTCTCTGGGCAAATCAGGTGTGAACAAATCCTTCGATACAGACATGTCCCACTCCAGATGAAGTGAGACAGAATTTGGGCCAATGTCAGTTTTAAAAAGTCCCGCTTAACCCAGCAGTTTTCTCAAAGTATCTGCTGTCGTAAACCACATGTAGTGTAGACATGCGAACCCCAAAGGTATCAAACATGAAAGAAACATAAGGCCAGTTATAGGGAGGTTTCCATGGCCAGGCCTGAGAGTTAAACAGCTGGGCTCTAACAGCTGGCCTCCTCAAAAGGAAAAGGGGTATCAGCACCCATAAAAATAACTGGTTGCAAAAATAAATCATCATGCATCCATCACCATTTTAAATTCTGACTTCTCTTGCCCGATGTGTCTTTGTTAAGCAAACAAGTGAACTGGAACTCTGTGGCTTTTACCCTCTAACTGGGTAAAAGGTTACATATCTTGTCTCAAGAAATTTTCATCTTAACAGAAAATTTATTTTAAAGTTTATCAAAATAAATTCCATTTGAAATAGAAATAATTACAGTCTATACTGGGTCTCTATTCTCATACATGCTATTTCTCTCACATATTCCCCCACTCTAATTCCTTTGGAGTGAGGTTTTAATTTCAGGATTAGCCACCATTTCCTATATAGTAGGAGGGGGCAGGGAGAAAACTAGAATAAAACCTGAATTATATTGTAACACTGAAAGTTATCACATAATCAGCCTCTTACTTTACACTAATTAACTATTTAATTACATTGTCGCTGATAACAATTTATTCAAATATTACAAAATATAAACCTATAGGGCAGTTTTCTCTTATTTCCCATTTCCACCCAGTGAGCTTTGTGTGAAGTCGAATTCTACAATAACCTAGGAGCCTTCCATTTCTGTGAGTTCATTTATCCCTGGGTCTTCTCCCATAAGTGTGAGTGGAAGGGGTCTCACACTACATGGGAAGGTTGCATTATGAGAAAAAACACCTCTGCTCTACTTTCACACTTTCTAATCTTTCAAAGTATCAGGAGGTGGAGAAGTGATACAAATGCGTTAGATTCAAGAGCAAAACTAAGAGACCAAATCACAGACAATGGACTCAGCATTCATGTATCCTGCAGTCAGAACAAGGAATCTGATACACACACACACCCATTGGCTACCATCATTTGCACAGCATGGAAGTGCTTCTTGTCCAACAAGGCAGCCAGATGGGGACCCATAGGCATGGAATGGCTCTGAAGGAATCAGCTGTTTCTCGCTGTGCTTCATGAAACTTTGGATCCAAATGGTAAAGGACAATTATTCACAATTTAATCAATACATCCTTTAGGACCATGATCAATACCACTTAACTGGGGAGCAACATTCTAAAAATAGTTTACCTGGACCAAAGGTTACCATAGCTTCCATCTCTGGAGTGAAAATCAACCATTAGTACCTGCAATTTCTATCTGAGTTCTTGTCAAATCTTTGACTTTACTTGGAGTAATTTTACACTTCTCTGGTGTAGAATTCTTCACCAAACACACAACATATCAGTAGCAATAGTGAGGTATAACTCCCCCAAATATGCGCTTTTATTTCTTTAATCTGATGGCACAGATTTAAATAGGGACTAAATTCAGGTGCGTCTTAGAATCCCCGTAAGACATCAAATGTCAGGTATCTATTAAAAATAGGTATCTTTCTGCAGCTATATCACATTCAACATGGACTTCATTTTCTACACATTTGCAGCATCTCCCAGGGGTGAGCTGAACAGAAATGTCATTTCCATTTTTCCCATCTCTACCAAGATAGGGATTGCATTTCCCAAATAAAAGGCAACATGCACCTGATCAGGAAGGAGATATCTTCAGGAGCAACTTCCTGCAGGGCCTGGCTCACAACTGCTTTGGGAGCGCAATGCATGAATCCTCTTCCCAGCCCTTTAGAGAAAATATTTGCCTAACCAATTGAAAAACAGGGGGATTGGGATGGTGATGGGGAATAAGGGAATCCCTCTGACTTACTTATCCTATCTTCTTCTGTTGTTACAGAGGGGAAATGACATTTTTCCCTATCCCTGCCCTATTCCTGCTCTTTGTTATAGTTCAATATATTTTAAGTGAGGAAAATGGTAGTAAAAATATCTGCTCTCCAGCACAACCTGAAGCAACATCAAAGCAACTGGGAATGAAATAATTTGTTCCCGAAGGGGGAACTTGATGACTAACAATTGCTTTGAAATGGGGGAACAGTATAACCCTGATGCTCAGGATTTGTTTAGACTAGGAAAAGTGATGGAGTTTAGGTCAGGTCAAGGGGAAAGCTAATGCCAACCACTGCACCTGGGCTACATCTCCTCTACAACTATAATTGTCTTTTTACACCAAGATCACTTAAATGAGCAGCCAATGCCATGTACAGTCCTAGTGGATTTAAGGCACAGGTAGTTTTTGCTGCAGTGTAGCTTATTGGGATCAATTCTCTGTCTCTCACTTGGAGTTGATGAACATTCCTGGCTGGAGTGACACACACTCCTATGACTCAAAAGGAGTTGATAGAAAAGATCAGATGACTGACCCCAAAGAAGGATGAGCTGCAAAAGGCAGAACCAGGCAACTCATCTGGGGGAGCTGAGAGACCATGGTGATGATAGTGCAAATATTGCTATGTGGGAATTAACAAATGTGTTTTAAAAAAAAATCTTTGGCCAGCCCTAGTCAAGGCATTTGTTACAGTTCTCTCTCATGTGGATTTTCTGATGTCTAATAAGGCTTGAGCTCTGATTGAAGCATTTTCCACACTCAGAGCATGTGTACAGCATCTCTTCTGGGTGGATTCTCTGATCTGTGGTAAGGGATGAGCTATAACTGAAGCGTTACCCTTATTCAGAGTATGTGTAGGGTTTCTATCCAGTGTGGATTCTCCTATGTGTGATAAGTTGTGAGCTCCGACTGAAGCATTTCCCACACTCAGAGCATCCATAAGGTTTCTCACCTGTGTGGATTCTCCTATGTGTGATCAGGACAGAGCTCTGATTAAAGCTTTCCCCGCACTCAGAGCATGTGTAAGGTCTCTCACCAGTGTGGATTCTCTTATGTTTGGTAAGGGCTGAACTACCAATGAAGCGTTTCCCACACTCAGAGCATGTGTAGGGTTTCTCTCCTGTGTGAATTCTATGATGTGTGATAAGGTATGAGTTCTGACTAAAGCTTTTCCCACACTCAGCGCATATGTAGGGCCTCTCTCCTGTGTGGATTCGCTGATGTGAGATGAGGGCTGAACTATCAATGAAGCATTTCCCACACTCTGGGCATTCATAAGGTTTCTCACCCATGTGGATTCTCCTATGTGCGGTAAGGTTTGATCTCCGATTGAAGCATTTCCCACACACAGAGCATCCATAAGGTTTCTCACCCATGTGGACTGTCCTATGTCTGATAAGGTGTGAGCTCCGATTGAAGCATTTCCCACACACAGAGCATCCATAAGGTTTCTCACCCGTGTGGATTCTCCTATGTGTGATAAGGGCTGAGCTCCAATTGAACCTTTTCCCACATTCAGGACATATGTAGGGTCTCTCTCCTCTGTGGATTCTCTGATGTTTGAGAAGGTCAGAGCTCCCATTGAAGCTTTTCCCACACTCATGGCATGTGTAGTGTGTTCCTTCCAAGTTGATTCTTTCGCTTGTAATAAGGTCTGAGTGGCTATTGAAGTTTTCCTCTGGCCTGTGCTGACTCTCAGAGGCTTTTTCTTTTTCTGGGAGTGCACAACTCCTGGAAACATTCCCTTTGGATCTTACTGATAACGTCCCATGTGGTTCTACTTGCTCAGCATCTTCCTGCTGGGGTTTCTCCTTGTTCTCACTCACCATCCCAACACCTGATGGGAGACAGAGAGAATCCAGGGATATGTCACTTACTGCACCAGAGAGAAAGGAAATCTCAGTGAGAGGAATGGAAAAATGGGTGAACAAACCAAAATATGTGCAGGAGAGATTAAATCTATCAGGAGCTGATTTTTCCCAAAACCTTCCTCAGAGCAGAGAGAGGAAGGGATCAGTTCCGGGTCCGCATCTCACCAGAACTATCAGGGGAAAGCGAGACTGGGGCGGGACCTGCTGTCAGTTGTCAGTCAGGATAGGTGGGAAGCCATGAGTGACATCTGCATAATGATTCCACATCTGCAGGGAACAATCCTGAACTTGGAGTGCTCACAAGGTCTTTGTAGGGCATCCCAACTGTTTCCTGTATTCATGGACAATTTTTGAGTTGGGGTTTAACCAATTCCTCACCTGTGCAGGCAGCTCTTGGGAACACTTCTTTCTCAGAGCCCAGGAGGTCTGGGACCCAGGGCTCTTCCCCTTGTTCCAAATGCGAGATCACATCAGGTTTGGAAACTGGAAACCCTATTCCAGGCAAAGAAAACAAGGGAGATCAGTGGAATTTGTGGGAGACTTGTCACAAGGAATATTCCTTGGTTTTAATCCCAGCTCATTTTTAAGTAGTAACATCCCAAGGCCATCTTCCTTGGCTCAAAGTGGCAGGAGAGTTATTATTATAAATCATATTCATTACCTTAATGCATAAGAGCCAACTAACAGTGGGTCCGTGTTGTGCTAGGCACAGGACAAACCCAGAATAGTAGATGACCCATGCCCTGAAGCTTTACAATCTAAATAGACAAGACAGACACAGAATGGGGAAACGGGTAGAACCCATCAGCGGGTCAGTGTTTTCTGGAAATTGCTACTATTACTGAATTTTTGTCTGAAATTACTCTTTACTTCTGGAATCACCCTTCCTGTCCGGAATTGCTGAACAGAGGGTGGGTGGGGCATGCAGGGTCACAAATCTTGGCTGCATCCACAGCACCTCTCCCCTGCACACAGCTGCTTCATGTCCCATCTCCCCAGCACATAGCTGGCTTTAGGCGCTCAACATCCAGTCTCGTTCCTACCTCCCCCCACACAGCTGGCTCCTGTCCCCTCCCCCCAATGCACTTTCATGCTGTAAAGGATTATATATTTCTCATGTTTGTCAATTACTCTGTCCTCTGTATATTTGAGCCAGCCCTTGAAAGCATGAATATTTCACAGACTACGATGCTGAGATGGGCCAGATGATACCGGGGAGGCTGAGGGATGGGTTTCCTGTGCAATCTGGTGTCACTAAGGCTGGATCTCAAGGCTGGTTATGCAGATCTCCATCTTTTGAAGCTATGCCCCCCCATGCAGAAAGGGGCAGTGACTTATTTTACCTCTTTCAGGAGACTGAAGAAGACAGACAGACTCTTTGGGGAGAAACAGCTAAGTTTGAGCTGACTGAGGAGGGTCTCTTTGGGCTACAAACTGACATGGCCTGGTAACCAAGAGGTAACCCCTTAGGGAAGGTTTTAATACGCTTTGGAACTGATCAGGGATTCCCACAAGGACTGATGAGGGGGCGATGGTAAATACACATTTAGATCCTTTGCTTGTTTTATATCTTTTCCCCATAAGGCGCACTGGCACACTGTCATGGATCCATAGGATCTGTGCAATGCCCTGGTTTTTAAACAGTCCTTGGGAGGTGCCCCTTGAGTGCACTAGACCCCCAAGGGATCCCACTCTTCCACAAGGATAGGCCATGTAGCTTCAACACCTGAGACTGAGCCTCTGGCTTCAACCCTCCTATTTCAACCTGTGAGCTCTGCCAGCAGGTCCAGCTGAACGACACTGCTGTTCAGAGACTGTTCCTCATCCATGCTTCAATGCACCTCAGCAAGTTTTTGCTGTGACACTGGGAAGACTTTTAAAACATAGCAGGGTTTATTAGTGAACCAAAACACAGCATTGGAAAGTCCTTAAATTAGCGCGGAGAAGCTGCTGTAGAAAACATTTTCTTTTCTTTTCACTGTGCCTGTCCATTTGTCTTTGCTCCAGTAGAGCTTCCTGCGTCTGCGAGCCCAGTTCTTCCTGGTCCCAAAAACATAATGAGTCCACGTATGCTTTGCTCAGCCAAGCAGGGATCCTCCCATGGACAGTTGACAATTATTCCCTTGTCTCTGTCGGGTATTCCATTGATGTAGGTTGGTTCCAGCCAGTCCTTAATTAATTAATTAATTAAACTCCCCCAGTGTGTGGAGATGGTTGGGGAATTAAACACTAAAATTCAGGAGCAACAGCCTCTAATTCTTCCAGAAAAGGAGAATGTAAGAAACAAGACCTGGGCCACACGAGCTCAGCAGGGACAGGCTCAAAGATCAAAGGAGCCTGGAGGGAACACAGCTTGTGGCTGCTGCAGACAGGGAGAGGTAAGACAAGACTCTCTCCAAACTCTCACTCCTCTTGATACTGACCTGATTTTATGATCTATGACCTAGTCTCATGTGTTGTGGGCAATTTTATACTCACTAGAGGTAAAATGACATTACCAGAATATTGTTTATTAGCTTGGAACATGCATGGTGGGGCAAGGAGGTGAACCTAAATAAATGAGTTATTAAGCTTGCTACAGTTAAGGGGCTTATATTAGGTTGAGGCTCTGTGGGAGTAGTTATGCTGAAGTCTGGGATTTACCTAAATAGGCCTAAGGAGAGAATCCCAGGTCAGATATTTTGAACCCTCATTTTAAGAGACTAACGAGGAACCATAAACAAGTGCAATACAGCACAGGATTCTAAAAAAAGTAAGTTTTGGGGGCTTTAACAATTAGGTTGCTATGCAGTATCTCAGCAGTTGGACCGTATTCATACATTGGAATTATTAATAAATAAGTGACGTAAATCATGAGTATTAATGCTTAATGCTTAATTATGGACTTCCCAAAGGCCACACGTGGGTTGGGGCAGCTATTGACATTACTGTAATCAGAGTAAAGTAGCAGATATGGTATAGAGCCATCCTATTACCATAAGGAAGTGGATAAAATACCTCTCCTAGTTACCATTTTTTCATTTTGTCGGGTCCCCGAGACTGTGACCTGAAGCAGGACCTCCCTTCTGATGGTCTATCTTGCCCCTTAATCTTTGTTTCCAACGGTGTCCATAACTTGTAAGCATACACAGTGCAAGACACTCTTTACTATACTTATCTTAGTCTAATCATTACATGTATTGATCCTTGCCTATGGTTTCAATTAGAACTGTCTGTATTAAATCAAGTTTCTGTGTGTTTCACCAAATTTCATCTCCTCAATTAACTTCGAGTAGCCATGAACTATTGGGGCAAGCTGTACCCCAATACGTAATCTTATAGGTGTAAAAATTATACAGGCTACACTACCACCCTATGACATCATCAACAAAATGCCCATTTGTGCCTGGGTAGTGGCCCTGCTATGGGAAGGAGGAATGCAGAAAGGACTCAGGATCGGTGGCCAGGGTCACTGTGCACAGAGATGGGGAAGTTATATGGGGAGGGGGGTAATGAGTGGGAGAGGGAGGTCAAGAGTTAAAATAATAATATTTTGGGGAAAATGTATAATGAAGTGAAACTGAACAGAAATAAAACTGGAGTGTAGGCTCTAAAGCAACAAGGCTTGGGTAGGGATTCAGGATTAAAGGTCTGGGATCCCCCTCAGCTCTAGATCCCCAAACCTCTCCTCCCTCCCACTGACCCACCTAGCCCACTTCCTGGGTGCCCTTCCTCCATATTCTCCACCCCTTCTTCCCACTACTCTCAGTCGTCACTACCTCCCGGCACCTTGGGAGCTTCTTGTATTCCCTCCTCATCTCTCATGACCTCATCCCTCCCTGCTGTTTCTTACCTCTAATCCTGCACATGCGCTCCCCATCTCCTGGCACCTCAGAATTAGGTACTCCCCCCTTCTCCTCCCCTCCCATGGCTCTGTTCTCCGTTCACCCATGAGGTCCTGAATGGCAACATTATATGCTCTCCTATTAAAAGAGGAGCTCATCTGACTGTCACACAAGCCATGCATAAGTCACACTATTTACTTAATTTAGAATTCTACAGGCAGCATATTTTCCTCTTCAGTGAAGAAAAGGCATGAAAGATCTAGTTATTAATGTAGTTATTAATGTCTCCAATAAGGAGACATTAAATGCAATTTTAAAATGACTGACGGCACCAAAAAGGCACATGTCCAAAAATGATTCTAGTGGGTGGGAGATAAGGCAAAAAAGGAGGGGGCAAAGAAACTTGTATGGTGAATAAAGTTATAAAGTTATTACTACTCAGGTTCTTCAGAGACCCCACAGCTACTAATAATCCAGGGGACAGGACTCCTTACCCAGCAAGACCACCATCTCATAGTTCTCCTGCATGACATCCCTGTAGAGGGCTCTTTGAGTGGCATCCAGGAGAGCCCCCTCTTCCCTGGTGAAATACACAGCCACCTCCTCGAAAGTCACCAGTCTCTGAAAGAGCAAGAGTCCAACACTCAGTACCTGCTGCCCCAGTCAAAACCCCACTATTCACAGAACAGCAGCACCGGGGGGAAGCTCTGGGAGGCACATGTTAACAGAGTCCCACCCCAACCTTGCTTAGAGCAGCCAGGAGGCATCAGAGGGTAGAAAGAGAGAACCTTTGTCTCCCAGCTGACAGATGGAGGCAGGGTCCTCACATTTATCACATACTTACTAGCCAAAGCTTCATATAGGATATAGGGCTATCTCTGGACCCTGTTGGTGGCTCCCTGGTAGGAATCCCAACACTCTCCAAATGAAATATATGGAAGAAAGGGGAAGTCAATAGTAAAGAATATAAGTTAGAAGGTCAGAATTGTAGAAAATTGGTAGGGGAAGCTATCAGAAATCAATAACCAATCAATGAAAATAAGAAGGAAGTAGAAAATTAATCTTAGCAATGATAGTGGTAAATTACTAGATGGAAATGGCAGAAGTATCAAAAATAATGCAGAAGAGGTAAAAGTGTTCAATAAATATTTCTCTCCTAGATTTGGGGAAAAACAGATGATGTAACACATATCCTAAGATGTTGACAACGACACTCTTTCCATTCCAATAAGAATTTATGAGGACGTTAAACAACAGTTATTAAACTTAGACATGTTTAAATTAGCAGGTCCAGATAACTTGTATCTAAGAGTTTAAGCCCTGGTCTACACTATGAGGTTAGGTCAAATTTAGCCGTGGTAGGTCGATTTTATACTCAATGCGTTTACACAACCAACCCCGTTCTGTCAACTTAAAGGGCTTTTAAAACAACTCATGTACTCCTCCCCGGCTAGGGGATTAGCGCTAAAATTGACCTTGCTGGGTCAAATTTGGGTTAGTATAGACACAATTCGACGGTATTGGCCTCCGATAGCTATCCCAGAGTGCTCCAATGTGACTGCTCTGGACAGCACTTTCAACTCCGATGCACTAGTCAGGTACACAGGAAAAGCCCTGGGAACTTTTGCATTTTATTTCCTGTTTGGTCAGCGTGGCGAGCTCAGCAGCATAGGTGACCATGCAGTCCCAGAATCGCAAACGAACTCCAGCATGGACCGAATGGAAGCCACTCGATCTGATTGCTGTATGGAGAAAAGAATCTGTGCAGGCAGAACTCCGATCAAAAAGAAGGAATGTCAATATATATGCCAAAATTTCACAGGGGATGTTGGACAGAGGCTACACCAGGGACACACAGCAGTGCCATGTGAAAATTAACCATCTCAGGCAAGCCTATCAAAAGACAAAGGAGGCAAACGGTCGCTCTGGGTCAGAGCCCCATACATGCTGCTACTATGATGAGCTGCATGAAATTCCAGGGGGGACCCTACCAGTACCCCACCACTGTCAGTGGACACCTGCAAGGGGAGAGTCTCACGCAACAGGGAAGAGGATTTTGTGGATGAGGAAGAGGAGGAGGAGGAGGAGAATGCACAGCAGGCAAGTGGAGAATCCATTTTCCCCGGCAGCCAGGAACTTTTCATCACCCTAGAACCAATACCCTCCCAAGGCAGGTTTCCAGACCCTGAAGCCAGAGAAGGCACCCCTGGCGTGTGCACCTTTGTAAATACACTACAGGGTTTAAAAGCAATTGTGTTTAATGTTTGATTTGCCATGAAGACTTGGGATGCATTCATGGCCAGTACAGCTACTGGAAAAGTCTGTTAGCGGGACTGGGGATGGAGCGGGAATCCTCCAGGGACATCTCCATGAAGCTCTCCTGGAGGTACTCTGAAACCCTTTGCAGAAGGTTTCTGGGGAGGGCTGCCTTATTCTGTCCTCCATGGTAGGACACTTTATCACACCAAGCCAGTAGCAAGTGGTCTGGAATCATTGCAGCATAAAGCATGGCAGCGAATGGTTCTGGATTTTGGTCGTATTCAAGCAATATCAGTCTTTATCTCTCTGTGTTAGCCTCAGGAGTGTGATATCATTCATGGTCACTTGGCTGAAATAGGGGAATTTTTTTAAGGGAACAGTCAGAGGAGGCCATTCATGCTGAGCTGTTTCTGTTTGGCAGGCTAAAAGTGGTCATCCCTGATAATAGCCACGCAGTGGGGGGAGAGGTGAAGGGATCATCCCAGAGAATTGCTATGCAGTGGGTGGGGGAAGGATTGTGCTGCACATCCACCCGAAAACCACAGCCCCTCCTTTTAAATGGCCAACCCAACAGGCATTGCTTGGTATGGGAAAGGAGGGCATCGCAGTTTGAAACCATTCCAACATGTTATGAAGGCGGAAGAAGCCAACCCCGTGTACCCTTTGGCTTACCATGGCTGCCTGCAAACCGAATTCTGTTGCCCAGCCGTGTGTGATGTCTCACACCATACCGGCAGGCACTCAATATAAAAGGCAAAATGCCACCTTGTACCTAAAGCACACGTGCTGTCTGCTGTGAATTGCTTGATTCACTGTGAAAGAGTCTCCCTTTTGTTCTCAGAAGTGTATCTTCTTAAATTCTACTTTCCCTCCCCCCCCCCCATAGGTGCAAATGTTTCTACACTTCCCCTATTATCTCCGTCCCAGAAGTTATCGCAGATTAGAAGGGAAAATAATGCTCACGATGACATGTTTTCTGAGCTCATGCAGTCCTCCCGCACTGATAGGGCACAGCTGAATGCATGGGGGATACAGTGGCAGAGTCCAGGAAAGCATTAAGTGATTGTGATGAGAAGAGGCAGGATGCGATGGTAAGGCTAATGGGGAAGCAAATGGACATGCTCATGCGTCTGGTGGAGCTGCAGGAAAGGCAGGAAGAGCACAGACTACTGCTGCATCCCCTGTATAACCGCCTGCCCTCCTCCCCAAGTTCCATATCCTCCTCACCCAGACACCCAGGAACGCCGGGGGGAGGCTCCAGGCACCCAGCCATTCCACTCCAGAGGATGACCCAAGCAACAGAAGGCTGTCATTCAATAAGCTTTGATTTCTAGTGTGACTACAATAAGCAATGTGGCCTTGTCCTTCCCTCCTCCCCCAACCCACTCAGGCTACCTTGTCAGTTATCTCCCTTTTTTCTTAATCAATTAATAAAGAATGCATGGTTTTAAAACAATAGTGACTTTATTTCCTTTGCCAGCTGTGATCAAAGGGGACAGGATGGTTGGGTTACAGGGAATTAGAATCAACAAAGGGGGTGGGTTTTCATCAAGGAGAAACACAAACAACTGTCACACCGTACCCTGGCCAGACATGAAACTGGTATTCAAAGCTTCTCTGATGTGCAGCGTGCCCTGCTGTGCTCTTCTAATCACCCTGGTGTCTGTCTGCTCAAAATCGGCTGCTAGGTGATTTGCCTTAACCTCCCACCTTGACATAAACATCTCCCCCTTACTCTCACAGATATTATGGAGCACACAGCAAGTAGCAATAACAATGGGAATATTGGTTTCACTGAGGTCTAACCTAGTTAACAAACAGCACCAAGGAGCTTTTAAACATCCAAATGCACATTCTACCACCATTGTGCACTTGCTCAGCCTATAGTTTAAATGCTCCTTACTAGTGTCCAAGCTGCCTGTGTATGGCTTCATGAGCCATGGGAGCAAGGGGTAGGCTGGGTCTCCAAGGATAACTATTGGGATTTCAACATCCCCAACAGTAATTTTCTGATCTGGGAAGTAAGTCCCTTCCTGCAGCTGTTTAAACACCCTGGAGTTCCTGAAAATGCGAGCGTTGATGTTGGTGAAATGTCCCTTGTGATCCACCATTGCTTGTAGCACCATTGAGAAGTACCCCTTGCAGTTTACATACTGGTTGCCAAGGTGTTCTGGTGCCAAGATAGGGATATGCTTTCCGTCTATCGCCCCACCACAGTTAGGGAATCCCATTGCACCAAAGCCATCCACTATGACCTGCACATTTCCCAGAGTCACTACCTTTGATAGCTGAAGATTAGTGATTGTGTTGGCTACTTGGATCACAGCAGCCCCCACAGTAGATTTGCCCACTCCAAATTGATTCCCGACTGACGGGTAGCAGTCAGGCATTGCAAGCTTCCACAGGGCTATCGCCACTCACTTCTCAAATGTCAGGGCAGCTCTCATCTTGATATTCTGGCACTTCAGGGTAGGGGAAAGCAAGTCACAAAGGTCCATGAAAGTGGCCTTACGCATGCAAATGTTTTGCAGCAACTGGGAATCATCCCATACCTGCAACACTATGTGGTCCCACCAGTCTGTGCTTGTTTGCCATGCCCAGAATCAGTGTTCCACAGTATAAACCTGCCCCATTGCCACCATGATGTCACAACTGCCACATCCCATGCTTTCAGGGAAGTCTGTGTCCATGTCCTTCTCACTATCATCCTCCTGATGACGACTCCTAGCCTGGTTCTGCACATACTGCAGGATAATGCGCGAGGTGTTTACAATGCTCACAACAGCAGCGGTGAGCTGAGCGTGCTCCATGCTTGCAGTGCTATGGCATCTGCATGGGTAACCCAGGAAAAAAGGCACAAAATGATTGCCTGCCGTTGCTTTCACGGAAGGGGGGGAGGGGAGACTGATGACATGTACCCAAAACAACCCACAACAATGGTTTTGTCCCATCAGGCATTGAGAGCTTAACCCTGAATTCCAATGGGCAGCAGAAACTGTGGGAACTGTGGGATAGCTACCCACAGTGCACTGCTCTGCGAGTCGATGCTAGCCACGGCTATTGAGGATGCACTCCGCCGACTTAATGTGCTTAGTGGGGACACACACAATCGACTGTATAAAATCACTTCCTAAAAATTGACTTCTATAAAAATCAACCTAATTTCATAGTGTAGACATGTCCTTAAAAGACTTGTTGGTGGAGTGTGGTGGACTGTTAATGTTGATTTTAATTAGGACTTGGAATACTGGGGAAATTCCAGAAGACTAGAATAAAGCTAATGCTGTGCCAATATTTAAAAAGTGTAAAAGAGATGATCCAGCTAATTACAAAAGTGTCAGTCTGACATCGATACTGGACAAGATAACGTAGCAGCCGATACTGGATTTCATTAATAAAGAATTAATGGAGGGTAATAACTGCATACTGCGTACAGATGTGGTCTCTTCATCTCAAAAAAGATATACTGGCATTAGAAAAGGTTCAGAGAAGGGCAACTAAAATGATTAGGGGTTTGGAACAGGTCCCATATGAGGAGAGATTAAAGAGACTAGGATTTTTCAATTTGGAAAAGAGACTAAGGGGGGATATTTAGATATGATAGAGGTATGTAAAATCATGAGTAGTGTGGAGAAAGTGAATAAGGAAAAGTTATTTACTTGGTCCCACAATATAACAATAGGGGCCACCAAATGAAATTAATGGGCAGCAGGTTTAAAACAAATAAAAGGAATTTCTTCTTCACACAGTGCACAGTTAACATGTGGAACTCCTTGCCTGAGGAGGTTGTGAAGGCTAAGACTATAAAAGGGTTTAAAAGACAACTAGATAAATTCATGGAGGGTAAGTCCATTAATGGCTATTAGCCAGGATGGGTTAGGAATGGTGACTCTAGCCTCTGTTTGTCAGATGGTGGAGATGGATGGCAGGAGAGAGATCACTTGCTCAGTACCTGTTAGGTTCAATCCCTCTCATAGACTTTAAGGTCAGAAGGGACCATTATGATCATCTAGTCTGACCTCCTGCACAACGCAGGCCACAGAATCTCACCCACCCACTTCTGTAATAAACCTCTAACCTATGTCTGAGCTCTTGAAGTCCTCAAATCATGTCTTAAAGACTTCAAGGTGCAGAGAATCCTCCAGCAAGTGACCCGTGTCTCACGCTGCAGAGGAAAGCAAAAAAAAAACAGGGCCTCTGCCAATCTGCCCTGGAGGAAAATTCCTTCCCAATCCCAAATATGGCGATCAGCTAAACCCTGAGCATTTGGGCAAGACTCACCAGCCACTTCCCTCTGGGGCACCTGGCATTGGCCACTGTCGGCAGACAGGATACTGGGCTGGATGGACCTTTGGTGTGACCCAGTATGGCCATTCTTATGTTCTTATGTTAATATAATTAGTGCCCACTAACAAAGGTTTAGAAAAAATAGATCCTATCAAACTAACTGGATATCCTTATTGGATGAGATCAAAAGTTTGGTTGGTATTCATGTAATATACCTAGACTTCTGTAAGGCATATGACTTGATTAAGAACAATATTTTGACTAGAAAGCTAGAATGATACAAAATAAACATTGAATACTTTAAATAGATTAAAAACGGTGATTGTAAACGGGGAACCATGGTCGAGTGGATTTATTTCTAGCCGGTTCCCACAAGGATTGGTTCTTGGCCCTGTACTATTTAACATTCTTATCAAGGACCTAGAAGAGAATATAAAATCATCACTGATAAAGTTTGCAGTTGCCACAAAGATTGGGGGTGATCATAACTAATGAAGTGTCAGTAGATTCAGGCTACAGCACTGGAAGTCTGCGAAGATTTCCCAGTCCTGGCTGGAGGTTTATTTCCTGTTCCACAAAAAGGGGAAGTTCCATTCCCAACTCCTGTGCCTTGAAATTAGGCCATATCTGACACTACACCCCATATTCAGCATAGTGGTATGATTATAATATGATTAGGACATAATTATGATGCATTTTGTGCAAGATGCATCATGTATGGTGGCATTGGAAGAGTTATGATTTGCTGAATATGATTATCGTATCTGTGTGCATGTTTCATGTTTGTATCTGAAGTTATAGATATTGACTATGTATCTGCATTTCAAATGTGCGTACTCTGGGTAACACCCACAACTAGCCTTTCAGGTACAACAATGAAGAAGCCAGACAGTGCTGATGGCTCATCAACAAAGACAATGGACCGTGGAAGAGCTTAGCCTTTCTGTAAATGTTTCAGCCAGCCTGTGAGTCATGGCTACTATGACTCAGCAGGGCATGCTAGGGCATGTGACCAGACCACATGACACTGAAATCCATTTTGGTACCTGTATTTTCCCACAAACTGGACTGGGAACTGACTTTGGAACAAAGGGTTCTTGCCATATGGAAAAGCTCCATAAGGTGGGGTGTGACATCATCTCTTGGCCTCATTCCCCACACAAGAGAACTCCTGGAAACAACTGAGGAACAAAGACTAAACTGGGGGAAATGCTGGTCCCAGGGTAAAGGGATTTCTGGCTTGTGTATGGAAACTTGGTGGACTGCTTGTATCATCAATCACAGTGAGAAATTGCTAATTCAAATTCTATCCAGCTAGTATTTAAGGCTTAGTTTGAGATTTTAGTTATTTGCTAAGTAATCTGCTTTGATCTGTTTGCTATCACTTATAATCACTTAAAATCTATCTTTCTGTAGTTAATAAACTTGTTTCATGTTTTATTTTAACCAGTATATTTTGGGTGAAGTGTCTGGGGAAAATCTCAGCTTGGTTAGCACAAGCTTGTTATGGATATCTTTCCCATATTGAGGGGAAGGCGAACTATATTAATGAGCTTACATTATACGTATCAGTGTGCACTATAAGATGGTATAATTCTGGATTCATACTACAGCAGGTGTGCAAGGTTGGGGAGCTGGGAAATTGGCTGTCATCTTCTCTCTGTCCTTGAGTGGCTTAGGTAAAGCACTCAGGAAGCTTAGTTGGGTGTATGGAGCCACCTGCTGTCGTTTTGGGTGATAACAGGGCCTGTAGAGGCTGGCTGAATCTCCAGCAAAGCAGTGTGAGAAGGGCCAGCCCAGCTTGATGTTTAGATGGCACAGCAGTTCCCAGAAGCCCCTCACAATGCACCTCAGGGGTGACAACCCATCACACCCTAGATTACACAAATCTCAGCAGGTTTGTCACATCCTGTCCCCTCCCTTTCTCCACCCTAGATATTTTCTGCCTCCCACCACCTCTAGTATCTCCCACCCTCCTTTGCATTTATTGCTCCTCTCCATCCAAGCACAACCCACCACCAGCTCCCTGATAATCCCTTACCTGAGCCAGCTCCATTGCAGCCATTTCCTTCCCCGTGGGAGGATGGGATGATGTGGAGAGAAACGTGGACATTACTCTGTAGCCTGCCAGAGAGAGAAGGGCAATGTGAGAGCATTCAGATGGGGTTTTTGTCCATTCCACAAGCTGATTCCCCCCCACCACCAAGATTTTTCCCTGCTAATGGACATTCTAGGTTCTGCTACACTGTGAAGCACAGAGTGACCGTATTCCAGTACAGGCCTAGCTCCCTCCCACCAAGGTGTACCCTCTGAGACATGGTGAAACTCTCCCAGTAACAGTCTCTCTGTTACACTTATCAAGTTTACGGATGATACCAAGCTGGGAGGGGTTGCAAGTGCTTTGGAGGATAGGATTAAAATTCAAAATGATCTGGACAAACTAGAGAAATGGTCTGAAGTAAATAGGATGAAATTCAATAAGGACCAAATGCGAAGTACTCCACTTAAGAAGGAACAATCAGTTGCAGACATACAAAATGGGAAATGACTGCCTGGAAGGAGTACTTCGGCAAAGGATCTGGGGGTCATAGTGGATCACAAGCTAAATATAAGTCAACAGTGTAACACTGTTGCAAAACCAAGCAAATATCATTCTGGGATGTATTACGGGGAGTATTGTAAGCAAGACAAAAGAAGTAATTCTTCCGCTCTTCTCCTCGCTGGTTAGGCCTGAACTGGAGTACCGTGTCCAGTTCTGGGTGCCACATTTCAGGAAAGATGCGGACAAATTGGACAAAGTCCAGAGAAGAGCAACAAAAATGATTAAAGGTCTAGAAAACATGACCTATGAGGGAAGATTGAAAAAAAATGGGTTTGTTTAGTCTGGAGAAGAGAAGACTGAGATGAGACATGATCACAGATTTCAAATACATAAAAGGTTGTTACAAGGAGGAGGGAGAAAATTTGTTCTTCTTAACCTCTGGGGATAAGACAAGAAGCAATGGGCTTAAATTGCAGCAAGGGCATTTGGTTGCCCTGGAGCATTAGGAAAAACATCCTAATTGTCAGAGTGTTTAAGCACAGGAATAAATTACCTACGGGAGACTGTGGAATCTCCATCATTGGGGATTTTTAAGAGCAGGCTGGACAAACACCTGTCAGGGATGGTCTAGATAATACTGAGGGTATGTCTACACTATGAAATTAGGTTGAATTAATGGAAGCCGGTTTTATAAAAATCATTTTTATACAGTCAATTGTGTGTGTCCCCACATAAAATGCTCTAACTGCAGTAAGTCGGCAGACTGCGTCCACAGTACCAAGGCTAGCGTCAACTTCTGGAGCGTTGCACTGTGGGTAGCTATCCCACAGTTCCCGCAGTCTCCGCCGCCCATTGGAATTCTGGGTTGAGATCCCAATGCCTGATGAGGCAAAAACAGTGTAGCAGGGGGTTCTGGGTACATGTCATCAGGCCTCCCCCCGCCCCCCCCATGAGAGTAATGGCAGACAATCATTTTGCGCCTTTTTTCCTGGATTACCTGTGCAGGCAACATACCACGGCAAGCATGGAGCCAGCTCAGCTCAGCTCACAATCACCATATGTCATCTGGGTGCCGGCAGATGTGGGACTGCATTGCTATACAGCAGCAGCTCCTTGCCTTTTGGCAGCAGATGGTGTATTACGATTGGTATCCATCATTGTCGTACTCCTCAGTGAGTTCAGTTAGAGGCGGCTGGGCAGACATGTTTTGTCTTCTGGAGACTCAGTCCTGCCGGCAGTCCTATTGCACCGTCTTTACGATGATGGCTAGCAATCGTAATGCAGCATCTTCTGCTAAGCACCCAGAAGATGCCGATGGCTATCAGTCATGCTGCACCGTCTGATGCCAGCCTAAGATGTAAAAGATAGATGGACCAGATTTGTTCTGTATTCATTTGCGTCCCCTTCCCTCCATGAAATCAACGGCCTGTTAAACCCAGGGTTTTGAGTTCAATCTTTGGGGGGGCCATTCTGTGTGACAGTTGTTTGTGTTTCTCCCTGATGCACAGCCACCTTTCTTGATTTTAATTCCCTGTAAGCCATGTCATCACTCGCCCCCCCTCCCTCTGTCAGACAATAGTTTCGCGCCTTTTTTCAGCCCAGATGCCATAGCACTGGGATCATGGAGCCCGCTCAGATCAGCGCGGCAATTATGAGCACTATGAACACCACGCGCATTGTCCTGGAGTATATGCAGAGCCAGAACATTCCAAAGCAAAACCAGGTGAATAGGCGATTGCAGAGCGGAGATGAGAGTGATGAAGAAATTGACATGGACATAGACCTCTCACAAAGTACGGGCCCAGCAATGTGCAAATCATGGTGTTACTGGGGCACGTTCATGCCGTGGAATGCCGATTCTGGGCCTGGGAAACAAGCACAGACTGGTGGGACCGCATCGTGTTGCAGGTGTGGGACGATTCCCAATGGCTGTGAAACTTTCGCATGCGTAAGGGCACTTTCATGGAACTTTCTGACTTGCTTTCCCCTGCCCTGAAGCACCAGAATACCAGGATGAGAGCAGCCCTCACAGTTGAGAAGCGAGTGGCGATAGCCCTGTGGAAGCTTGCAACGCCAGACAGCTACCGGTCAGTCGGGAATCAATTTGGAGTGGGCAAATCTACTGTGGGGGCTGCTGTGATCCAAGTAGCCAACACAATCAAAGACCTGCTGATATCAAGGGTAGTGACTCTAGGAAATGTGCAGGTCACAGTGGATGGCTTTGGTGCAATGGGATTCCCTAACTGTGGTGGGGCGATAGACGGAACCCATATCCCTACCTTGGCACCGGCGCACCAAGCCACCGAGTACATAAACTGAAAAGGGTACTTCTCGATGCTGCTGCAAGCCCTGGTGGATCACAAGGGACGTTTCACTAACATCAATGTGGGATGGCCGGGAAAGGTACATGATGCTCGCGTCTTCAGGAACTTAGGTCTGTTTCAAAAGCTGGAGGAAGGGACTTTCTTCCCGGACCAGAAAATAACCGTTGGGGATGTTGAAATGCCAATAGTTATCCTTGGGAACCCAGCCTACCCCTTAATGCCATGGCTCAGGAAGCCATACACAGGCAACCTGGACAGTAGTCAGGACCTGTTCAACTATAGGCTGAGCAAGTGCAGAATGGTGGTAGAATGTGCATTTGGATGTTTAAAGGGTCGCTGGCGCACGTTACTGACTCTCTCAGACCTCAGCCAAAACAATATTCCCATTGTTATTGCTGCTTGCTGTGTGCTCCACAATCTCTGTGAGAGTAAGGTGGAGATCTTTATGGCGGGGTGGGAGGCTGAGGCAAATCGCCTAGCCACTGATTACATGCAGCCAGACACCAGGGCGATTAGAAGAGCACACCAGGAAGCGCTGCACATCAGAGAAGCTTTGAAAACCAGTTTCGTGACTGGCCAGGCTATGGTGTGAAAGTTCTGTTTGTTTCTCCTTGATGAAAACCCACCCCCTTGATTGACTCATTCCCTGTAAGCAAATCACCCTCCCCCCTTCGATCATAGCTTGCTTTCAAAGGAAATAAAGTCACTATCATTTAAAAATCATGTATGCTTTATTAATTGTTTATAAACCTAGGAAGAGAACTGACAAGATAGCCCGGGTGGGGTCTGGGAGGAGGATAGGAGGGAAAGAAAAGGCCATTAAAAAAGTTCAAAATAATGACAGCTTTTGCTTGGGCTGTCCACTGGGGTGGAGTGGGCAGCTGCATGGAGCCTCCTTCCCCGTGTTCTTACACGTCTGGGTGAGTAGGCTATGGAACATGTGAGGGGGGAGGGAGGTTATACAGCGGCTGCAGCGGCAGTCTGTGATCCTGCTGCCGTTGATGAAGCTCCACCAGACGCTGGAGCATGTCCGTTTGATCACGCAGCAGCCCAAGCATTGCAGCCTGCCACCTCTCATCTCGAGCGTCCCTCATGGCCTCACGGTCACTGGCATCTTTCCTGTACTTTGATATCATGTCCTTCCACTCATTCAGATGAGCTCTTTCATTGCGGGTCGATTCCATGATTTCAGAGAACATTTCATCTCGCGTCCTTTTTTTTCGCCGCCTTATCTGAGATAGCCTTCGGGACGGAGGAGGGAGGCTTGAAAAATTTGCAGCTGTGGGAGGGAGGGAAAAAAGGGAGAGAAGTATTTAAGAAGCATTTTATAGAACAGTGCTTATACTCTTTCACGGTGAACAACACTATTCAC